GTGTTTCTCTTCCTGGTTGATTTGTGTCATTTCTCTTCAGCCGATGTGGGTGTTTTCCCTTTCCAGTCGGGCTGATGTTTTTTCCCTCTTAATATTTGACCTATTCAGATCTGTTTGCAGACTATCGCCTTTACTATCCTCTATATAATAAAATATACCTTCAGTCCATTTGTTTGGAGTAGAAAGTGTCTTTTACATCTCCGATCGAATCCCCGAACCTCTCATAACATCTCTCTAGACATGCTTCTTATTTAACACCTGCTTACTTGTTTACACAATATAGGCCTAACTTTGGGAGCCCACCTGCATCACCAGTCTTATTAAGAGACTGGTTCAATGAGATGGAACACCTATGCCCCTCATCAGCAGGATATCCCTCAAGATTGAGGAATGAACAAAAAAAAAGGGGGGGAATTGATACTGGCTCAACACAAGGTTGAAATAAAGGAAGCCATATTGCAGAAAAGAAACCATATTGTAACTTTGAATGACCTCTGATTAACTAATCCAGCTGGATATGCACCCTCCAGGAGATATACACGCTCTGTAGATTTTATGGCTCCTCCCAGTGATAAGTCAAAAACTTTATGATTTTGAGTTCCTTAGGAATGTGATGACCCCCGGGCAGAGAGTCTATGCTAATAGCCATCATCAATGATAACTGTCTGTGTCAATGACTTGGCAACTCCCTCTCCAGAGTCATGGTGGCAAAACAGGAGTGACTCTGTTTCATTCAATGGTCCCCCTATCCTGATCCCATTCAGCAGGAAGTAGCCAGACAGACAACAGTGACCCTGTTCCTGTTACCAGCATATGATTATGCTGGGTTACAACTGACAGTGAGGAGTTGTTGGCACCACTCATGTAAACAGTAATCTTTACTACACATATTAAAGTTTTTTTTATTATCTTTAAACTAAATCAGGGTATAAGGCATTGCTCTAATCTCTGATGCATATCCAGTAAAACAAAAGATTATCAGGAACTAAGACCAGATGTGTGCCCCACCTGAAAACCAGATGCCTCCCCAACCCAGAGACTAGCCCCCTATATAACTGGCCTATAGTCTTTGTTCTGTAAGATGGTTCTTTCTGACATTAGTCAGCCATCTCCCCCCTTGCCAGCAAGCTGTAATTAATAAAACCCTTTCTTTCCTACCACCTTGCCTCTTGACTATTGGAATGTCTTGTGGTGGGCAGAGGACCTCCCCTTGGGTGGTAATAAATGGAGGGTAAATAGCACAGAATAGTTGGAGAGGGCATAGTTGGTACTCATCAGCCTGCCCGGTATGGGCACTACCTGAGACCCAGCTAGCCTTTCTCAGAGCTGCAATGGTGGGTGGGGACAGGAGTGAGGGAGCCTTCAGCAGAGGCTGGGCAGACCAGGCTGTGGAGCATAATGGAAAAAGGAGGGCCCAACCCCGTGGCTGAGTGGTTAAAGTTCCACGTGCTCTGCTTTGGTGGCCCAGGTTTGCAGGTTCGGATCCTGAGCGTGGACCTACACCACTCATCAGCAATGCTGTGGTAGTGTCCCACATATAAAGTAGAGCACAGATGTTAGCTCAAGGCTAATCTTCCTCAGGGAAAAAAAGAGGAAGATTGGCAATGGATGTTAGCTTAGGGTGAATCTTCCTCAGCAAAAAAAAAAAAAAGAAAAAGGAAAGAGATTCAGGGGTCTGCAGTCCATGAGAGCCAAGGGGAAGGTGTCAGGTGCCCCCGGGAGTGTCACTTGAGTCAAAGAAAGGGACCATAAATTCACCAGCCACAGATCTCTGCCTCCAGAGTTAGCAGAGCACCTGGTAGCCAGGTGGGAGGGGGACACTGAACTGGAGTCTCGAAAATACCAGCCAGGGGACCCTAGGAACCTGCACGAAGCTAGATGCCTCTCTCCCTTCTATTTCCTAAGGACCTTTAAGCCTCCTGACCTCCCCTCCCCATACACCTGGGCCCCCTCAGGGAGAGACAGGGAAGGGAGAAAACAAGCATATTATCCAAGAGAAGTGAACACTACCCAGAGGAACTGTCTAATTCATCCAACTGGTCCATGCTTTACTCAGGCTAGATAATCAATTTTCTCTTCCTACCCAGCAGGTAGGAAAATTAGATGAACTATAGATGAAGAAATTGCATTTTATCTGCTTAGGGGCAGGAGGGAGGCAGGAAAAGTGAATACAGAAACTCTTTTGGGGAGTTTTGCTGAAAACATGGAAAAAAATCCAGAAGAAGGAAAAAATTTGATGATGCAAGAGAGAGAGAATTGCTGGAGTGATGTCCTTGAGGAAATGAATGAGGTGCTGACGGGGCAGAGCTGACCAGTTACAAGGACCAACCACTCACTCATCTGTGGGAGGGAACGAGGGGAGGCTGGGTGGTGTGTGTGGTGTGGGGGGGTTTGTAGAAGTTCTCTTCCGATTGCTTCTATTCTTTCCCAGAATCAGAGTGCAAGGTCACCAGCTGAGAGGGAGGATGAAGGAGGTGGTGTTGGGGATTAAGGAGAGAGGAGGATGCACAAAGACTGGCCCGGAGGCAGGGAGAGCAAATGAAATAAGGTAAGTATGAGGATGGCTGGGGAACACTAAGCGCATGCTAGAAGTTGTGAATTTCAAGGGAAACAACTGTTAACAAAAATTCAACCAGGTAAATTGAAGATCTAAGTGGCTTTATTAAGTGATTCATGAATTGGGCAGCATCTCATCTAGCAAGCAGAGAGATATGCCGAGGAGTTATACAAAATGGAAGGTTTTTATAGGAAGGAGAGTGGGGCAAAGAAGTTACCAGCAAAGGAAAAGAAAAGATTTTGGGGGGCTGGCCCTGTGGCCAAGTAGTTAAAGTTCTGCACATTCCACTTCAGTGGCCTGGGTTTACAGTTTTAGATCCTGGACACGGACCTACTCCACTCACCAGCCATGCTGTGGAGGCATCCCACATACAAAATAGAGGAAGATTGGCACAGATGTTGGCTCAGAGCTAATCTTCCTCAAGCAAAAAAAAAAAAAGAGGAAAATTGGCAATGGATGTTAGCTCAGGGCGAATCTCCCTCACCAAAAAAAAAAAAAAAACAAAAGAAAAGAAAAGATTTTTGGAGGCCAGGACCTCGTCTCTTTGGAGGGATGGGATTAGCAAGGGTTTTATCACACAGATTGCCTTTTCTTCCTCTGGGGGATGGAGAGGGCCCATGGAACAGATTACCTCATTGGTACTGACCAGAAAATTCCAGACTGGTTGGTTAAGATTACATTTCTGGGGAAGGTGGAAACTGCAATTAGAGCAGGTATTAAATCTAGGTTTGGTATCATGGGCTTTAACACAACTACGCCATTTTTAGCCTGTGGTTTTTCTCTTTAACACAACTCAACAGCTATTTGGGAGTGCGCATGGAGCAGGCAGAGGATTCAACTTAACCAGCGTTGTGCTTGTGTCTGGTGGAAGAGGCAAGTATGACAACGGAGAAAAGAGCACCGGAGTTGAGGGTGCTTGCATGGGAGTGATTAGGATTGCTCCTGGAGTTTAAACTGGGTAGAGTAGGGAAGTGAGGACTTGAGGCAGGTGAGAGACAAGGTAAAGATAGGAGGAGCGACCGATTGGAGGTCCCAGTGCGGTTGAAGGATTGCAGATGCTGAGGTATTAGAGAAAGTGAGCTAGAAAGACAGGTAGTGGAGGTCAGAAATTCGGATGACCGAAACTGAGATGAAGGAGGACTCCTGGGAACTGGTAAGCATAAGGTATAAGGGCTGTCCACAGGAGCCGCTGCCTGAGACAGGGTGGAGGACAAGATCATTGACAAACGGAGAGACTGAGGCATTGCAAGACTCAGGTGTGTGGGTGTGAATTTTATCAGGCGTGTTTGAGAGAGTGAGGGTCAGGCACCAAAATCCTCAAGAACAAGGGTGAGTGATGGGGAGGGGGCTGCAGAGGGCAGAGTCTGAGGAAGTTTGATTCAAGGCTAGGTTTTAGGAGGGCTGGGAACAGCAAGGATGAGGAAGGTGACAGGTACCCTCCTCCAAGCCCATGGCTCCTGTGTGTGAGACAGGACAGCAGGGGAAGCATGTCCCTAGGGCAAAGCCAGGTTTCAGTTCCAGAAAGGAGAAGCGAACCTTGGGAGAAGAAGTTGAAAATTGAAACCAAAGTAGGATGGGTGGAAAAACTGCTAGACATGTGTCCATTCCCACAGAGATACAGAACTTAGCAGAGAAGCTCCAGAGCAATCTGGGACACTTTGGGTGAGGACTGGAGGGCTACAACGACTGAGGGGGCGCAGGTGGGCAGGGGGTGGGGGAGGTGGCGGCGGGTGGAATCGGGCCTGCAGGCTCTGGAATCAGGCTGACCAGAGTCCCAATCCCAGTCCTGCCTCTTGTTGCCTGTGTGATCTCAAGCAAGTCCCACTTTGCTCAGGGGTAAAATGAGCTCCTAAGAACATGAGGATTCCACGGAAAGCACAGGGCCAAACACGTCCTAAGCACTCAGAAAGTGTCAGGTATTGTCATTAAGACCACAAAGAACGGATTCATAAATCAGTTTTAGTCTTTTTCCCAGAATTTTAGTTCTTTCTGGTGTTGGCAAATACTCTGCTTTTTAAAGTCTATAAAATATTTTGTACATGGAAACAATATAGCACATGTTTAAGTACTCAAATGTACACATAAATACTTAAGCCTTGGTCTTTAAAATTAATAGACACGATCATGCCCATAGATTTCAGAGTTATATGAGATCGTTGAAACGATGTGGTCAACTCCCTTCACCACCACTTGCGAATTTACAGAACAGGAGAACTGGGCTGGGCGAGGCCGGGACTGATCCGCGATCACGGGGTTGTGGAGCCATGGCCAGAACCCGAGAGGAACTCGAGATTCTGGCCTAAACTCCTCTCCTATTATTTAGCATTGCGGCAGCCTACCCTAACCGTCAGGACGCAGCCACCAGCCAAGGTCCCTCAGAAGGTCCCCCTCTGTATCTGACCGACAAAAGCGCCCGCGCTCCGCTGGGTCCATTAACCAACCTCACTGGGGTTCAGCAACCGCTTGCCCAGGACCGGCCAGGACTCGTGCGCTGCGGCCGCCTCCCATGTTCCAGCAGGTGGAGAGGCAAGCGCCCTGGAATAAGACAGGCCTAGAAGAGGGTGCGGGAGTGGGGCGGGCGGTGGCCGGGGGCGGAGACTGCGCACCGCCCACTTGGGAGGGCCTCAAAGCGGACCCTGCAGAGCCGCGTTCAGGCACAGTCCGAACAGCTCGGGCACTGTCGCCTGGAGCTCGGGCAGCGCGGGCAGGGGCTGGGTGGGCCCGCTGCGCGCGGGCTGCTAAAGGAAAAGCTTCGCCCGGGGTCCATGCGCTAGGCTCCCGGCCCACCCGGGCGCGCGGCGGCGCAGAGGGACCCCGCGCGTGTCCGTGCGTCTGCCCCGCGCGGCGCGCCCATGGGCAGCCCCTGGAACAGCAGCGACGGCGCGCGAGGCGCGCGGGAGCCGTCATGGGCCGCGCTGCTGCCGTGCGACGAGCGCCGCTGCTTGCCCTTCCCGCTGAGGGCGCCGGGGCCGGTGACCGCCGCGTGCCTGGGCCTGTTCGCCGTCGGGGTGAGCGGCAACGTGGTGACGGTGCTGCTGATCGGGCGCTACCGGGACATGCGGACCACCACCAACTTGTACCTGGGCAGCATGGCCGTGTCCGACCTGCTCGTCCTGCTCGGGCTCCCCTTCGACCTGTACCGCCGCTGGCGCTCGCGGCCCTGGGTGTTCGGGCAGCTGCTCTGCCGCCTGTCGCTCAACGCGGGCGAGGGCTGCACCTACGCCACGCTGCTGCACATGACGGCGCTCTGCGTCGAGCGCTGCTCCGCCATCTGTCGCCCGCTCCGTGCCCGCGTCCTCGTCACCCGGCGCCGCGTCCGCGCGCTCATCGCCGCGCTCTGGGCGGTGGCGCTGCTCTCCGCCGCGTCCTTCTTATTTCTGGTGGGCGTCGAGCAGGACCCCGGCGTGGACGCGGTCCCGGACCGTAACGGCACCGCGCTCGCCCGCTCGCCCCGCGCCTCGCCGTCCCCGCCGCCCCTGGGGTCCTCGCGGGCGCCCCCGCTGTCCCCGCCGTCGGGGCCCGAGGCAGCGGCGGCCGCGGCGCTGTTCAGCCGGGAGTGCCGTCCAAGCCCGGCGCGGCTGGGCGCGCTGTGCGACCTGCTGTGGGTCACCACCGCCTACTTCTTCCTGCCCTTCTTGTGCCTCAGCCTCCTCTGCGGGCTCACCGGGCGGGAGCTGTGGAGGAGCCCGGGGCCGCCGCGAGGCCCGACCGCCTCGGGGCGGGAGAAGGGCCACCGGCAGCCGCTCCACATCCTGAGTAAGTGGCGCCCCCTCTGTTCCAAACACTCCAACCCGCGGTCCAGGCTGTGTTCCCTTCCCCTGGTCTCCCAGCCCTCGGTGCCTCTTCTAGCTACATTTCCTTTTGTAGTTCTACTCCAGCCTCCACCTGCGTGTCCTTCCCGTCTGCAGAGTAAACCATCTCCGGTCCTCCAGGAGCTCTGGCTAACCCCAGGGCGCCCCTGAAGGCGGGGTACCCGGGACTGGTAAACAGCAATGATTTTCCAAAGCCGCTGCGGTCAGTGAGCCGGGCTGATCCCAGATGGCAATTGGAGGCTCTTAAGCGAACTGCTTGTCTCCGTCAGATGCGGCAGATGTGGCTCACTCACAGTACCTTTGAGAAGCCGTGGTAGATCACATTAAGATAAAGTTTCTTCACTTAATGTTAGATTATCCTGAAGGCTAAAGTGAGCCATGCTCGTAAGAAAAAATAAAAGATTGCGCGGGCCTCTTGCAGAGTTCTTTTCAACAGAAAACAGAGAACATGTCCATGAAGTGGGTTTGTGGAAGGAAGCCTGCCAGAACAGCTTCTTAGTACAAACGGCACCTTCTGGTTTATATCCAGCCTCGAAAACATATATATGAGCCGAATATGCAGTTTTACGGCAAATAACGACGGTGTCTGCAGCCGGGTAGTTTTTCTGGGATGGGAATTTAGCTGGGTAAAAGCTTTATCTAATTTATTTTGCTGCTGCTTATTACTTCAGATGGTTTCTTGGGGACCCTTATTTGTTTTCGGATGCTTCAGCTAATTCTGGTTCCTGTGTCTTGTTTTGCAGTGGTGTTGGTTCTGGCGTTTATAATTTGCTGGTTGCCTTTCCACGTTGGCAGAATCATTTACATAAATTCGGAAGATTCCCGGATGATGTGTTTCTGTCAGTACTTTAACATCGTTGCTCTGCAACTTTTCTGAGTGCGTCTATCAACCCGATCCTTTACAACCTCATTTCAGAGAACTATAGAGCAGCGGCCTGGAAACTGCTGCTGCCCAGACAATCCAGACAGAGAGGTTTCTGCAGAAGCAGGGACCCTGAAGGGGACATGGGCGCAGACACGGCTGGCTGCACGGAGACGAGCGCTAACGTAGACCTCAGCAAGCCTCACGGCCAAGCAAGTCGCCTCGACCCACGGTTCTGGGACTTCAGAGAAAAGAGGTCTGTAGGGACGAAGGACTGAAAGTGGGGAACTGATGCTGTTAATGAGAGCTGGAAAGAGTGGTTGATATTTTGCAAGGTGGTCAGCAACTTTGTCATAGCATGATTTTTTTTTAAATCAAAGTGTGAAATATAACTGTACCAACCTTTCTAGTTTTCCTTTCTTGTACCTTCTCAAGGACGTTCATTTTAGCCTGGTGAAATCCCACATCACAAAATGTGCTCTGGGAAGGTTTTGTAAGTATTCATCCTCCTAGTCTTTGGAAATACGATTGCTCGCTTTACAGTTAGTAAGTGATACAGAGAGATGCTGTTGTAAACTTGTCCCCTCTGAGGTCAGGGGTGTATTTTGGTTTCATGTTTTGGATATAAATGTAATGGTGGTTATAAACCAATGTTACTGCAATAAACAAAAAATAAAAAAATAAATGTAATGGTGCATATACAAGGAACACAGGATAGAGTTTTTATCCAAGAAATTATTTAATGCCTATATATGGCTGCAAAAATTTTTAGAAGCAAGTGAAAGGAATTCTGGGTAGAGTCCGATGTGTAGGGGTCCCACCTCTCTCCTGGCTCCAAGCAAACCATAAAGTTTGGGCACAATACCCTCTTTCAGAACTACTGTGTATAAACAACTGTGTGCAACCCACTTCTCCCTGAGACTGCCCAAGGGGCTGTCCCAGTGCCATTGGCCGTGAGGTAGCAAACCTGGGCACCAGCTTCCGGACAGAGTGACCTTTGTAAAGAGTTTTAATATGCCTTATTTGCCTTGGCTTGGTGAGATAAGTGTTGTCATCTTTCCTGTTTTACTACTGAAGGAAGTGAGTCTTAGATTTCCCAGACAGACACTGGTAGGTCTGAGTCTGAACTTATCCGTAAGATGCTTAACCCACTCCCACGCTGAGAAGCTGCTCTTACTGAAAAACATCAGTTACTGGATTTAGTCAAGGGTTAAAAAGAATGTTTTGGACATTCTGAACAACAACTCTTTAACTTTGTTTCGTTTTTTACAGTTTAACACATAAACCTATTTTCAGAGGGCTGCCCCATCCAGTTCCAACGGGCATCATTCACACCAAGGTCTGTATGAATGGCGCTCCCTGGAGGTAGGCAGAGCACAACTTCTTCAGTTGTAAACTACAAACGGTGACTCCATCAACAACAAGGGTCTGCTCAACAGGCTGACAAAGTTCTGTTGCTTTTTCATTTGAAAAATGAAAGCCAAATACGGTGATGCCTTCAAGTCCCCTTGAAGCGTCCTAACCCCCTGGTCCCGCCCTCAGCTGGTGCAGCAGCGAAGTCTCTCGTCGACATTGGTTTCTCCCAGCTAGTGGATGCAGCCGATAGTGGTCACTTGGGGCAGCAGTCCCTAAACCATGTTCTGCAGATTTTCGAGGATTATTTGAAAAAAGGATTCTGTGGTCAAATATGGTAGGAAAACACTGCATACTGTACCCCCTCCCCAAGAGTCACAAAAGACATCATGAGAAGTGTTGAAGCTTCCTTGATTTATCTTATCACAGAACCAACTCCCTATCCCCCCTCTCCAAGAACTCTTATTAAACCTCACGGACTGAGGAAAACTGTGGAGACACAGATGTAGGGTTCTCAGAGAGGAGGTGCCAGCCCTGTGCCACTGCCACTCCTCTGCTTGGTAGCACTAAGTAGGGACGTGCTGGAGCTGCTGCCACACAGTCTTTCTGCTTATGGGAGTTCCTGTCCCAGGCAGTCAGAGGTGGCCTCTTCCCTGTGGAAGGTCATGGTTAAGAACCTTACTGATATTTATAGTATAATATTTTAGATATAGAAGCAAAGACCTCTCCTTTGAGCTTTCCTGCTCAGATTCTAGAAAAGAGAGATTTACATCACATTTTCCTGTGACCTAAGTGTGTTCCCCGGAGTGGGTGTGGGGAGGACCACTCTTCCTTCCCCACAGGCTCCCTGAGACGGTGTGTCTGAAGCCCATCCCTCCTGCAGATCAGTGTGCGGCTGTTTTTGAAATGCCACTCTCACCCATTAGTGGATTGTGGAGTCAGTGGAGTGGGTCACTTGTTTCTTTAATGGGATGGAGTGGGCGAGAATAGAAGAGAAATCAGTGCATCACATGTCATAAGGGTAGCTGTTGTGTTGTGAAACTTTTGTTTCAATTATGTATTGGTTGGTATCTTTCCTGGTTCACAAAATAAAATGTATTCCTACTGTGGGTCATGGTCAAAAGTATGTGAAAAATTGTTCTAAGATCTAAAATTGTTCTCTGCCCTAACAGAGACTGTCCTTCCCCTGCATTGACAAGTGGCTATAAAGGGGGTGAGGGGTCTGGGAAAACCCGAGGAGGCCAAATCAGGGATCACTGGAGAGGGCCAGCTGGGCTGTGGTTTTCAGTCCTGGGCCTCACTCCTCCCCGGGACGGCATCATGGGGGCTGTGCCTTGGGACCACGCCCTACACCCGGAGAGAGATGTGTGCTGCATCCCTGCAAGGTTCCCTTTGAACCCTCTCTTCCTTCTGTAGGCCAAGCTGCTTTTGTTAGGTGAGGCACCAGCCTTGGGGAAGGGCTTGTGTTTCATTCATTCACTCAGCAAATATATACCAAGCAATGGCTAAGTGCTAGACAGTGTATGGCAGACACACTAGAAAAATGAATCCATGTCATAGTGTCCAAATCATTCACCTTTTTAATGGCATTTTTTTTTGAAATGTGTAATTCTGTCACCTAGACAAACCACAGATTCAGCTCACAGGTTAATAAAAGCACATCTGATGGACCTGCAGAATATCAGGTTAGTCCTATCCACACGGATATTCCTCCCCTTTTCAATATGCGCCATTTCCAGTTCTGAAGGGAATGTTCAAAGAGGCTATTGCACAGCACCTCCTAGGAATCAAGAGTCCCCTGTGCAAGGTCCTCAAGGGGACATGAGAGCAATGTGTTAATGATGTTTAAAAGTTTGAACACAGCCTCTCCTAACTATTTCTACTTATGTAATAGTAACATTTGCCGGTATGTGGAAGCTTTTCTTACATAAGTATTTGTGGTTGTACCGGTCGAGTGTTTTAAGTGGAGCTCTAAAAAGGCATTTCTTTTTTTTTTTTTTTTTAAAGATTTTATTTATTTATTTTTCCCCAAAGCCCCAGTAGATAGTTGTGTGTCATAGCTGCACATCCTTCTAGTTGCTGTATGTGGGACGCGGCCTCAGCATGGCCGGAGAAGCAGTGTGTCGGTGCGAGCCCGGGATCCGAACCCGGGTCGCCAGCAGTGGAGCGCGCTCACTTAACCACCAAGCCACGGGGCCGGCCCTAAAAAGGCATTTCTTAAACATGGATGTGAGGCAATTTTTAATTGTGAGCCAATTTTCTAAAGATTCTGAACTCTAAATACTACATAGACCCTGGTCAGCTCAGAGCAGCCTTCAAAAATCAGCATTTCCTTTCCTGGGAGCACAGGAACATTGGTCATGGAACAAGCGAGTGCTCCTCAGGCATGCTTTGTGGCCAGTCACTCAGCATGTCCCTCGCTCTGTGTAAGCTACAAGGAGATGACAGAGGCAGACTCTACTCGCCACCTTCGTAGCAAAACAACACACACTTTTAAACAGTAACAGACGCCTGTGTAATAAGGGCTCAAAAGTGTCAACCAGATCGGGTGAACTGAGTGTGGGGAGGCAGGCAGTCGGGCGATGTTCTCTGTCTGTCTCTTTCGAGGCACTTAGCTTGTTACATCGTGGTGGCTGGTTCCCAGGATGTGTAACTTGTTCCCTAAGGACAGACCGTGTTTTATTCCCCTTGGCGTCCTTTGCCCAGGTAACAATGTGCGTTGAACTCAACTGGCTGCAAAGGAGGGGACAGGGATCTTCACTCCGGGGGATGGACGGGAGATGGAGGTTGAGTAAGCAGATGACTGGGACGTCTGTTCTGAGCCACCGGACAGCACAAGGGAAAGCTCAAGACAGGAGCGAAAATGGCACACGGGGGACAGAGGGCTGAAGGGAGTGGAGGAAGAGCCGCTGAGGAATAGGAGAGGAGGGGAGTGGGGGCACTGATGTAACCAGGAGCTGCAGCTTGCAAAACAGATGAAATGGGCTGGGGGGAGGCTGAGCCTGGGAGGCCGGTTGGGACGAGTTATTTACCATAACCCAAGGCATAGGCACTCGCGGGGTAGAGTGACACTGGACTAGTAACATGACCAGGTTCAGCACCTCCCGTAGCCAAGACCCTCAGCAACGTTGTGGCCTCAGAGCAGAGACAGTGTCCCTTTCCCCACCCTCAATCACATCCCTGGGCGCTCCCACCTTAGTTTCCTGCAACGGTCCCAGCTGTTCCTCACCCAGGCCCAGGCAGGCCATAGCAGAAAGGGCCACAGTTGACATCTCCTTTCTCTCATCTTGGCAGCAAGTGTGCAAGTCTCGAAAATGTTCCAAGAATTTCTACTACTTGTGATGATACAGGGATAAAAAGAGATTTTCTTGGAAAGCAAATACATGCAGGTTTCAAAGTTATAATGTCCTAATTTTACTGTAATAGTTATACCTGTTCGTAACTGGAACATAAATAGAGCTAAATTTGATCTTTGTTTCCATCTTACTCCCACAATATACAAATGTGTCAGAGCTTCCTAAAGTAATTCAGAAATCACTGAAAATACCTGAGAGACTGTTTTAAGATGTCTTTTATTGGTTACTAGCAGGCAAAGCTGTAAGGTGCATGCAGGCCACTTAGCCTCTGAGGGTAACTCTGCTTACAGGCCTCTCACGGAATCCATTAGCCACTGACCACTCACCTGTTGAACGGCCACCATCTGAACTTGCATTTTGAAGACTCTGTTCTCCAAGAAGATAGTATTGAAAGTGCTATGAGATTCCTGCTGGTGGCACAATGGAGGGGTTGAAGTCATTTTAGGCATGACTTTTTTATCATTGATGTAATGACCAGGATTTGATTTATCAGTTCTTGGAAGAAATAAATGTTGAGGGAGGAGGGATGACGGGGGAGGAAAAAAATTCATAAAATGCAATGAAGCTTC